ATCGCCGGCTGGTAGGTCGCCGGGTCGAACGGGCGCTCGCTCAGTGGTAAGAGCTCGGCCCCGGGATCCATCTCGTGGTCCGGGGGAGTCCCGCCACGTGGAATGTCGTCCGCCATGTAGAGAATGGTGTGAAAATGGCCGGGAAAAGGAAAATCGAGCCGGAATATGAAGAGTCAACCGGAAAGTCAACTCCTGAGAGGGTCGGAAATGGCCGGGAAGGCCGGAATGTGAAAGGGCACGGAAATGAAGAGGAAAGTGAGGGGAACGAACCCCGAAAAGGCTAGAACGCCAAATGAGGCACCAAAACGAAAATGTGATCGGTGGAAAATGTCCGAAACGCGAAGAGGATCGCGAATCCGACGACGAAACGAGCGCAGAACACGAAGAAACGGTCGAAAAATGAGGGAGAAGCACTCTAGAGAGAGAGAGCAAGAGTTTTCGGCGTGAGAAGAATGAGGAAATAGGGCTTGAAGCCCTATTTTATAACACCCAAGGTGAAAAGACAAAACTGCCCCGCACCAGCAACTGTTTGCCGGTCGGCAATGTTTTGTGCCGGCCGGCACTTTTTTGTGCTGATGGAATTGTTTTTGTGCCGATGGACAGCCGGTGGCCTCCCCTTTCGGCCGGTGGGGTTCCCACAGCCTTGTTTAGGCCATTTGAGTTGTTTTTTGTCTTCATAGCTCAAGAAAGTGCAAGAAAGTGCACCTCCGATGCTCAACCGGCCTCCGTTTTGACCTCGGGTCGTGTCTTCTGTGCGTAGCACTTCAACCCATGCAAGGTGTATCCTTTTCGTATCCTTTTGACTTTTTACAAGGTCCAAAAGTTGCCCCATGTATATCGCATATCAATCGCACTGTTTTGTGCAATTCAAACCTGCGCACTGTTTTGTGCATTTCAAATCGTCACACTGTTTTGTGCATTTCAATCAATCGCACTGTTTTTGCACGTGTTACATGCGTTGCAACACGCATCCCTTTGCATTGTCGTGCACATTTCTCATGCATCATCATTGCATTTCCATTCCATGCATTGTCATGCATTCTGGAATACATGCGTTGTTGCGCATTCAAGCCCATTTACACTCCGTGTGGCGTGCATGTCACACTTGGCATTACACTGTTTTGTGCATTTCAAAATTGTTCGCGCTGTTCTGCGCATCGCACTGTTTTGTGCATTTCAAATCGTCGCACTGTTTGTGCATTTCAAAATTGTTCACGCTGTTCTGCGCATCGCACTGTTTTGTGCATTTCAAATCGTCGCATTGTTTTGTGCATTTCAAATCGTCGCACTGTTTTGTGCATTTCAAATCGTCGCACTGTTTTGTGCATTGCATTTCGTCGCACTGTTTTGTGCATTGCATTTCGTCGCGCTGTTTTGCGCATCCCATTGCATTTTGCATTGTCATGCATGTTAATTACATTACCTGCGTAGACCGCATGTTTGTAATCATTCTTTATTTGCGTAGACCGCATCTCAATTCTTTATTTGCGTAGACTGCATCTTAATTCGTTACTTGCGTAGACCGCATGTAATTTCATTACTTGCGTAGACCGCATGTCTTGATTGCGTAGACCGCATGCTAAATTTCATTACCTGCGTAGACCGCATGTTTTGATTGCGTAGACCGCATGCTAAATTTCATTACTTGCGTAGACCGCATGTTTCTGATTGCGTAGACCGCATTGTTAATCTCATTACCTGCGTAGACCGCATGTTTTGATTGCGTAGACCGCATGTTCAATTTCATTACCTGCGTAGACCGCATGTTTTGATTGCGTAGACCGCGTGCTAAATTTCATTACTTGCGTAGACCGCATGTTTTTGATTGCGTAGACCGCATTGTTAATCTCATTACCTGCGTAGACCGCATGTTTTGCTTGCGTAGA